CCTCCATGCCTAAGACACTACTTTCCTAGTAACTGGATTTAGGAAATACAATTGGCCACTTCCCCTAGTAGAAGGGAGCAGACCAAGGTAGGGTTGAAATTCTCTGCCCCATGGTTAGAGTAGAAATCATACAGACCAGCTGTCCTGATTTCCCAGGGCTTCTGTAACAGATTACCCCAAACTAAGTAGCTTAAAACAACACGAATCGAATGAACAAAATAAACTCACCAAGTGGAGACAGACCCAAGGATACAGAGAACAGATGGACAGCTGTCAGAGAAGAGGGGTTTGGGGGCTGGGTGAGAAGGGTGAAGGGATTAAGCAAAGAAGAAAAGAAAAAAAGACTCATGGACACAGACAACAGTATGGTGATTGCCAGAGGGGAGGAGGGAGAAGGTAGAAGAGTTTGGTAAAGGGGGGATAAATAGTGATAGAAGGAGACTTGACTTGGGGTGGTGAACACACAATACAATATACAGACGATGTGTTGTGGAATTGTATGTCCGAAACCTGCATAATTTTATTAATCACTATCGCCCCCAATAAATTCAATTTTTTAAAATCAATAAATAAATAATAATGACTAAAATAAGCCACCCTAGCAGGTTTGGTTCAGTGGATAAAGCGTCGGCCTGCGGACTAAAGGGTCCTGGATTCGATTCTGGTCAAGGGCACATGCCCAGGTTGTGGGCTCGATCCCCAGTAGGGGGTGTGCAGCAGGCAGCCAATCCATGATTCATTCTCTCTCTCTCTCTCTCTCTCCCTCTCTCTCTCTCTCTCTCTCTCTCTCTCTCTCTCTCCCTCCCTCTCTCCCTCTCTCTCTCTCTCTCTCTCCCTCCCTCTCTCTCTCTCTCTCTCTCTCTCTCTCTCTCTCCCTCTCCCTCTCTCTCCCTCTCCCTCTCTCTCTCTCCCTCTCCCTTCCTCTCTGAAATCAATAAAAATATTTTATAAATAAATAACCCCATGACTTGAGCTTGCCAATCATGGTTTGGTTACATCACACCAGTGAGCACTAACAGTTTGTTGTTGTTTTTTCCTTCCTGCGGCCGATCTCCAGGCTGTTCCACTGCAGCATAACCAGCGACGGCTGCATCATCCTCGCACGCTCCTCCAAGAAAGCTCTAGTCTCACGCACTTGGACCTGGGGCTGAACCACATCGGAACCACTGGGGTGAAGTTCCTGTGTGAGGCTCTGAAGAAACCGCTGTGTCACCTAAGATGTCTATGGTCAGCTCATGGTTTTTGTACTTTAATCTGCACCTGGAATGAAATATCAGTGTAGCAATCTCCCTCCCGCCCCCCAGCTCTATTGATGACAATATTGAGATGTGTAGGCATGTAATTGTGCCATGTGCTCGTCATAAAAAGGATTGGAGGGTGGTAAAGGCTGGGGTGGGGCAGGGGGGCTAGAAGAGGTCAATGGGGGAAATGGGGGGCATATGTAATACTTTTTTTAATAAGACTTGTACCTTTTTTTATAATATATTTTATTGACTTTTTACAGAGAGGAAGGGAGAGGGACAGAGAGTTAGAAACATTGAGAGAGAAACATCGATCAGCTGCCTCCTGCACACCCTCTACTGGGGATGTGCCTGCAACCCAGGTACATGCCTTTGACCGGAATCAAACCTGGGACCCTTCAGTCTGCAGGCTGATGCTCTATCCACTGAGCCAAACTAGTTAGGGCACATATGTAATACTTTCAACAATAAGGATGTTTTTTAATCAATTAAGTATTTCAAAAGGCCTCTAGGATAGCCCTGGCTGGGTAGCTCAGTTGGTTAGAGCATCGTCTTCCATATGCCAATGTTGCAGGTTCAATCCTCAGCACATACAAGAATCAACGAATGAATGCATGCATAAGTAGAACAATAAATCTCTGTCTCTCATTCTCTTTCTCTCTCTCTCTCTCTCTCTCTCTCTCTCTCTCTCTCTCTCCCCCTCTCTCTCCCTCTCTCCCCCCTCTCTCTCTCCCCTTTCCTTTCTCTCTCTGGAATCAATAAGTTCAAGTATCAAATCCTTTTTGAAATCATGCTACCCCCCTTCCAGATATCTAGATCTGTTCTCTACCCCCACACACATACTGGTAACATGTGGGTTGTGGCTGAGTTTTCAAATGAGTCTGAATCCCGCCTTCTTCGTGCCCTACAGTTTTTCAACCACCCATAAGACTGCCTTCTAAGGTGTAACTTTTGTCACCCTTCTGACCAACACCCTCTGTGCTTCCCCATCTCCTTCCAAGTAAAATTCTAAGTTTACCAAGACCTAAGGGCCTTCTTCAAGCCGGCCCCCTCTTATCTGTGACCCCCACCTCCAGTCCTCCCTGGCTTATCTGTGACAGCACCTACAGCCCTTCCTGGCTCGCTCACCGTGACTGCCTTGATGTTGCCTTACCTGCTCTGTTCCCTATCGCCAAACTCAGAGGGAAGAGACTCACTCGTGTGGTTCGCTGCTGGATCCCCAACACCCAACAGTGTGCCTGGCATAGAGGACGCTATCAACATAGGACGGTGTCAATAAGCACTGGATGAATGAATGAATGAATGAATGATGGATTTTTGTGCTTCACCTACAGGTTATGGGGGTGTGCGATCACCCCTTTTAGTTGTGCAGACCTCTCGTCGGCCCTTAGCAGCAACCAGCACCTCATCACTCTGGACCTGGGCCAGAATTCCCTGGAGTACAGCGGGATAAAGATGCTGGGAGATGCCCTGAAGCTTCAGAGTTGCCCTCTGCAGAAACTCAGGTATGACCCTCCTATGCCCCAGTGTTTGTGCCATGATTGTAGATTTGGGGGGGGGGGGGCACCAAAGACAGGATTCCTTGTAGCCACATCTATTGCTAACATTCAGTTTTAATCCATTGATGTTCGGTCACCACATAATTTGTCTGTCAATTCTTCCTCTTGTTGCTTTGACCCATAAACCAGGAGGTCACGGTTCGATTCCCAGTCAGGGGACATGCCCAGGGTTTAGGGCTCGATAGTTACCATAGTTACCAAGGGGAGAATCTTAGAAACGGGGCCACTATCTATCATCAGAGGTTAAATAAAGCATGGTAGCCCTGGATGGTGTTGCTCAATGGTTATGGCATCACTGAAGGGTCTCAGGTTTGATTCCCAGTTAAAGGCATGTGCCTGGGTTGCAGACTTGATCCCTGGCCCAGGTCCGAGCATGTGCAGGAGGCAACCAATCAATGTGTCTCTCTCACATTGATGTTTCTCTCTCTCTCTCTCTCTCTCTCGCTCTCTCTCTCTCGCTCTCTCTCTCTCGCTCTCTCTCTCTCGCTCTCTCCCCCTCCCTCCCTTCCTCTCTTGCTAAGAAAATCAATGGAAAAAAATACCCTCAGGTAAGGATTAATTTTTAAAAATAAAAGCGTGGTCAAGAGATAGCATCATGTAGCCAGAGAGGGATAAAAAAACTGGCCTGGCTGACTTGGCTTGTGTTTGTCTGGCTCATCCTGGGTCCCCCTACGTAGCAGAAGTCGACAGAGTGAGATATGGAGCCGGTAGGTATTAGAGCCATGTCACAGGTACATTCATCAGTTCCATCTCTCACACCAAGGAGGACGTGAAAATCACCCAAGAACCTCCGAGCATCCCAAGCTCCCCCGTGGCTTGATGCCATCAGGAGGGTAGCCTGATATCATATTTCTTCCCTATCAAGTCCATATGGAACTCTACCTGGCAGCACAGACGAATACATAAAGTGGTCCCTTTGCTGAAAATCCCTAACGCATGCGGGTGCTTGGGGGGGGGGTCTGGAATGAGTCTCCTGGAAGCAACAAGAAACCTTTGATTCCGCCCCCCTCACTCCCCATTGTACCACCAGGTTGAAGATCGATCATTCTGACGCCCAAATCCAGAAGCTGCTGGAAGAAATCAAAGAGGGCAACCCAAAACTGACTATTGAGAGGGACAACGAAGAGCCCAGAAATAACAGGCCTTCTTCTGCAGACTTTATTTTCTGAATCTCCCCCCCGCCCGCCCCCCCCCGAGTCATTCGTTGTCCCTCCAATCAAGGCGCCATGGCTCTTCGAGGCGAGGGTGAGCTTCCCGTGAGCCTGCTCAGTGTCAGTAGTTTCTGGACCTGATGGGATCTGAGCCATGGTTGCACCCTCCCCCTTACACAAAATACGCACGTGTCCCTTAATCCTGTTACGATGAGCTGCCCCAATCACGAGTTGATCAAGAGAAATAAAGGTGCACGCACTTGTGGAGGACGTTGTATTTATTAACAGTCAGACCAGATGCAGAGGTCCATCCAGGAGCCATCTGAGAGAAGGCTGAAGAAAGAGGGAAGCCCGGCCAGTGGCTCAGTGGATTGAGCGTCCTCCTGTGCACCAGAGGTCACTGGTTTGAATCCCAGTCAGGGTACATGCCCGGGTGGTTGGCTCAATCCCCAGTAGAGGAGTGTACAGGGGGCAGCCAATCGATGTTTCTCTCTAAGCAATGTTTCTATCCTCCTCTCCATTTCTCTATCTAAAAATCGATGAAAACATTTTTTTTAAAAAAGAGGGAAGTATGATGTTGCGGTGAGGAAGTTGTAAGAGCCACAATGTGCAAGACATGAGTGACTAGCCCTAGCCAGTTCGGCTCAGTGGATAGAGCATTGGTCAGCAGACTGAGGGGTTGCTGGTTTGATTCTTTCCACCCCAAACAGAGGGAGTTCTCTTTTTTTTAATCTTCATTGTTGAGTCTTACAGATGTCCTCCATTTTTCCCCCCAATGCTCCTCTTCACCCAGTTCCCGCCCAGCCCCGCCCCAGGCTTTTACCACCCTATTGTCTGTGTCCATGAGCAATGAATATATGCATATAAGTTCTTCGGTTAATCAACAGAAAGCCAAGTGCACTTGGCCTTAAAGGCTGAGAAGCAATCGGAAAGCCAAATAGACACTGACTCAACGGCTCCTTGATGGAGCCCCAAGAAGACACACACGCACACGCACACGCACACGCACACGCACACACACACGCACATGCCAAGTCCCCTCCCTGCTCTCATGACCTCTTGGATACAACCACGTCTTGAGGTTCTGACAGTGGCAAACCCTGGGGATGGCCAACTGGTCGACCCCAGTCCTGACCACTCTGTGACTTCTGAGCCCCTGGGAGGGGTGGGAGTGGCCTGTGGACAGCCGGGACCCAGTGCAGCCGGAATTTCTTCCGGCTGTGCCAATCTTCTACCAGGATGCCCGCCAGGAGTAAGAGGATCGCAGCCCCGAGGCATATCCGGACCAGGTTCCCCTTAGTGTAGTCCTGATGGGCGAGGCCTGGGGAATGAAGAGAATCAGGAGCTCTGTCATGGGCTTCTCATAGCCGTATTCCCTCACCTGAGGTCCTGTTACTCTCTGCTAGCTGGGATGCCAACCTCCTTCCTGGAGGGCCCCTCTCCTCTCCCCCAGGGTCAGATAAGCCCAGTTCCCTGAGTAGAACCTCTTCCATCATCAGGCCTCTGATGCAACCCGCCCCTACACAGACACTCCCTGGCTATTTGGCAGATTGTGGAAGAAAAGGCTACTATAAGGGGGGTGGAGGTGGAATGGATCTTACTCTGATCTTCCAGAAGACCTCAACCTTCCCAAGTCTGAGCTCCATCTACTGTCATTTCCCCTCCCCTTCACACTGGGTGTATCGGGGCCCAAGATCCCAGAGCTATGGCTTCTGTATTGAGAAGCAGTGAGATTTAGATAAAGACACAGGGTGGGGAG